TTTTCCGTGCTCGCCTGAGCCGCGCCGACGCCCCCTAGGTCGTATGCGTGCGGCCCTCCTTTCCCTACCTCTCCTGCGGAGGAGGCGGCGGAGCAGGGGGCCTGGACAGGTCGAGCCTGCGGTAGGCCCGGACGAACTCCACGAACTCCTCGTAGCCTCGGAGATGCGGTCGGGGCCGCCGCAACGCCCCCCCCCCCCTCCCCAAGCAGGGCCGCGCGGCCGGGGGCCGGCCCAGAAGCGCCGGCCTCCTCCCCGATCCTGCAAGTCCCGCAGTCGCGCAGCAGTCTACGCGACGCCAGAGGGTGGCTTCAGACGCGAGGGCATCGTGGAGCGGCCCTCTTCAAGTACGGGAGGCGCGTTGGGTATGACATGTTGGGTGCCCCCCACTGGAATGGCGGGCGGACTGGGCTCTTGGCTGACTGGTCCGCCGCCCGCGCATCCCAATGCGCCGGCTTCAGCTTTGGATGGCGGGGCAAGTTCCCCGCTGCGCGAATTACTGTGTCGAGTTAGTTATGACGAGACGGTGGGAACAACTGAGAGCAACTCAGCCCGATTAGCGGTTCCCCGACCTATTTGAGAGTGCTGAAACCCCGGGAAGTAAGCAAAACTAGACAGGAACTAAACAAGAACAAGCGGGACAAAGCGGAATTCGGGGGCGATCAGGCCGCATTTCAACAATCGCTATGCCAGCACCGATGCAGGACTTGACCCCCCCAGATCGAAGCAGGTCGAAGGTTGAAGGATCGAGAGTTGGGGGGCGAAGAGAGCGGCACAAAAACAACAGGGTCTTGCACCCCTCGGGCCGGCACAAGTCCCAAAGGCGTTTGGAAAGCTGATGCCCGCCATGGCGGCACGCAGGCCGTTTACCTTCCTGGAGGCCCCAAGAAGGAACGGTCGACACCGAACCGATAGGTCGGATCGGATCGGAGCGTGCGACGGACCAGGCCGCATCGGCGTGGGGTCGGGAATCGGATCGACTGCACCCAAGACGCACAACAACGCCACCCGAGCATTAATGATACAACCCGATACCGATACCGCTGCTCCGTCACAAGGCGCGGTCTGACAAGAACTTCGAGGCAAACCCAGCCAAGCAAACGGTGGAGAGGTAACAATTTCGGTATCTGCTTCCTCCACTGCACACGAGCCGCCAGACTTTCGAGATCGGACCGGGCCAGCTGGAATCGATACTGGGTCGGGCCGATCGGATCGAAACCGAGACCTGCCTGGCTTGGTCCAAGGGGGTCCAAAGGACGTGTTGAAATAAAAAGAAGGGCCCTTGAAATCCGGGTGGGTACCATGGCCCAAACGATTGGATTATCCCCCCTTAGCCATCACACACTGAATGGCCGCCCCCGATATGTCGAGATCGGATCGGGCCTGCTAGAAAATCGGCGCTGGGTCGATAACGAAGCGGATCGGAGTCAGGCCCTGCCTGCCCGGGGACGTGGGCCTGCGGGTCGTCAAGTGCCGAGCCCGACTACGACTAAGACCACAACTACTACTCCTACTCCTACTCCTACTCCTACTCCTACTACTACTACTACTACTACTACTACTACTACTACGACTACTACTACTCCTACTCCTACTCCTACTCCTACTCCTACTACTACTACTACTACTACTACTACTACTACTACTACTACTACTACTACTACGACTACTACTGCTAATACTGCTACGACTTCTACGACTACTACTACTACTACTACTACTACTACTACTACTATACTACTACTACTACTACTACTACTACTACTACTACTACTACTACTACTACTACTACTACTACTACTACTACTACTACTACTACTACTACTACTACTACTACTACTACTACTACTACTACTACTACTACTACTACTATACTACTACTACTACTACGCTACTACTATACTACTACTACTACTACTACTACTACTACGACTACTACTACTACTACTACTACTACTACTACTACGACTACTACGACTACTACGACTATTGCTACTACTTCTACTACTACCACTTCTACTACTACTACTACTACCACGGCTACTACTACTACTACTACTACTGCTACTACTACTGCTATTACTACTACTACCACCACTACTACTACTACTACTACTACTACTACTACTACTACTGCTGCTGCTGCTGCTGCTGCTGCTGCTGCTGCTGCAACTACTACGACGACGACGACTACTACGAGAATTCTACTACTACTACTACTCCTACCACATGTACTACTACTACTACTACTACTACTACTACTACTACTACTACTGCTACTACAAGTACTCTTACTACGCCGACGATTACGGCTACGGTCAAAACTACCCTCACAGCACCAACATCAACAACAACTGCTACGGCTGCTACTACTAGATATTCTACGACCACTACTACTATTACTGATATAACTACTACTACTACTACGACTACTACTACTACTACTACTACTACTACTACTACTGCGACCAACGCTGCTACTACTACTACTACTACTACTACTACTACTACTACTAGTACTACTACTACTACTACTACTTCTACAACGACGACTATCACTACTACTACTCCGACTACTACTACTACTACTACTCGACTACGGCTACGACCGCGACTACTACTGCTGCTACCACTGCAATCCCTACTACTACAACTACGACAACGGCTACTACTACTGCGGCTGCTTCTGCTACTGCTACTGCTACTGCTACGACTACTACTACTACTACTATTACTACTACTACTACTACCACTACTACCAATACTACTACTACTACTACTACTACTACTACTACTACTACTATTACTACTACTACTACTACTACTACTGGTACTGCTACGACTACTACTACTACTACTACTACTACTACTACTACTACTACTACTACTACTACTACTACTACTACTACCTACTACTACTACTATTTCTACTTCTACTTCTACTACTACTACTACTACTACTACTACTACTACTGGTACTGCTACTACTACTACTACTACTACTACTACTACTACTATTACTACGGCTACGACTACGACTACGACAATTACTTTCACCATTATCACAACTACTACTACCACTACGACTACTACTATCACTACGATTACTACTACTACTTCTGCTACTACTACAACTACTACTACTACTGCTGCTGCTGCTGCTGCTGCTCGTCCTACTACGACTACTACTGCTGCTGCTACTACTACTACTACTACTACTACTACTTCTACTGATACTACTACTGCTGCTACTACTACTACTACTACTACTACTACTACTACTAGAACTACTACTACTACTACTACTACTACTACTACTACTACTACTACTACTAATACTACTGGGCTTCCAACCTGTCTGATTCCACTTGCTAAACGCATAACTGTGTCAATGACGCCTGATCTGAGTGTAATCAATGTTTGTACATAGTTGTGATGTCTGCTCTTTATGTGGGTTCTAAGTTCATGCTTCTGGTGTCTGGTAAGTCTTGAAATGATCGATGTGTGTGGACGGCGCAGCGCAGTGACTCCTGCCATGTCGTAGCCGATTTATGTTGATGGTGTGCGGTGTTGATGTGGGTTCTTGGTGTATGTGGTTGGCGAATGCTGATGAGTTGTGTCATTGGTGATGTCCCTTTGTCTGTGGTATCGGTAAAGATTGTCCCATTCTTGATCACGTCGGTAAAAAGTATCCGCTTGTGTCGGTTATGCACGTTCCTAATGTGTGTGTGTGTGTGTTTGTTGGTGTCGGCTACGTGTCTACCATTTGTGTCTGGCATCGATGTACGCTGAGGATGTGTTCGATGTGTATGGTATGGCTGTCGCTTTTAACGTATGTGCAATTTCGCATCTGATTGATTTATGCTCCTGGTGCATATCACTGGTGACTGAACATCGCACGCGTCATTTGCGTATGCCACTCGTGTATGGGATGTGGATGTACGTGCTTGGAGTATGTTCGTAACGTAAAACGAACCTTGGTGTATTCAGATTATGTTCTAGATGTCATTGGACGGCTTGAGGGCGTTACGCCTGGGCAAGGCGGGAGTGTCAGAGACCACTCGGGATTCTTTGGGCCTGGCCGCCGCGGTGTGCAGGGCTGGTGAGGCGGGGAGTCTCAAGGACCAATCAAGATCCTGCGGGCCTGGCGCTCGAGGTACGCAAGGCTGGCGCGCAGGTCTGCATCTTGAATCTTGAATCCAACTGGCCCAGTCTTCGGCGGTTCAAAGATGGGGCCCTGAGGGACGGGGCCCTAACGACGAGAATCTCAAACAGTGAAGGTTCGATATGGGATTATGCTCCTAAATGCCCTTAAGGGCCCCAACCCTCGGGGCCCCATCTTTGAACCGCCGACCCGTCGGGTAGGAACAACATGAAGCCTCGAACAGCGATCCCGGGGCCTCCACGAGGACCTCTTTTTCCATGGCCGAAAGGGGAAGGGCCAGAGCTGGTAACGTCGACGACGACGCTGACGACGGCAAAGACGATGTCGACGACGATGACATTGGCTGCAACGGCAACGACGTGTAGAACGACGATGACGACGACGACAGCGGCGGCAACGAAGACGACACCGACGACGTTGACCCGAGATGCTTTCTGGCCACAACTCGGGCCTCTGGCGGCCGTTTGGGACGATCCGGGCACCCACGACTCTCTCGGCGAGTGCCAGCTCAGCTGCCCGAGAGCACCCTGGCACGAGAAGAGAAGACGTCCGAAAACCTCGAACCTCGGTCCTCGCCTTCTGACCTCGGCGACGCCGACTGCGACGCCGACGGGGGCGGAGACACTGATGATGATGACGACGGCGGCGGCAACGACGACGACGGCGACGATGCGGAGGATGGCGACGACGTCGACATCGTCGACGTCGACGACGATGGCGTGGACGCCGACGACATCGACAACGTCGACGTCGACGACGACGACGACGACAGAGCGGGTCGCGGGCCCGGGCCCGGCTGGCGGAGCCCCGATCGCCGGGAATCTCCTAGGCTGCGGGCTCAGGGTGGAGAAGCGAGTCTGCTGCTGTACCAGCCGCTCCGCGTCGCCCACCTGACATGAGGCATGGCGACCCATTCTCAGGTCGGGCATGTCCCCATACTCATTACATACACAGAAAATATTCCCAAGACAAATCGTCCCCTGATTATTCCCTACCTAGGCTCTGCCTAGACGGGTTCTTACTTTATTAGCTTAAAAGGGCCGGGCAGTGTTCCCCGCCCCGGGCGGTTCCCCCGGCATCCGCCCCGCGGTTCCCCCAGTTGCGCCTTAGCTTTGCCTAGCCTAGCTTGGCTTAGCTTAGCTTAGCTTAGTTTATCTCATATTAGCTTAGCTTAGCTTAGCTTAGCGTGGCTTAGCTTAGCTTAGCCTAGCCTAGCCTAGCTTAGCTTAGCTTAGCTTAGCATAGCATAGCTTAGCTTACCTTAGCTTAGCGCAGCATAGCGCAGCGCAGCATTAGCACAGCATAGCACAGCCGAGCCAGCCATAGCAGAGCATAGCATCGCATAGAACAGCATAGCATAGCATAGCATAGCATAGCGCAGCATAGCATAGCATAGCATAGCATAGCATAGCATTGCTTAGCATAGTACAGCGCAGCATAGCACAGCACAGCACAGCACATCATAGCATAGCCTAGCCTAGCCCAGCATATCATTGCGCAGCATAGCATAGCATAGCATAGCACAGCACAGCAAGCCATAGCATGGCATAGCGCAGCACAGCATCCACTACTGCGGCTGCTAATGTTGCTTTCCTAGAGGCTCCAACTCCTAGGTAGGGTCGCACTGGGATACTTGTTTAACAATTGTTTTTGTTTGAACATTCCTCCTGTACAGCGATAGACCCGACTTACCGAATCCAACCAACATTGAAACCAAACGGTAAAGCAACAAAAAAACAATCGTGCAAGAACTATCAAAAATAGTGCCTGGTCAGGGTCGCTACCTAGGGCCCGGCGGCCTCGACGGCAACGCCGACGAACCGGGAGTATCCTTCTATACTGAAAGGAGCTCTTGGCCCTCCGTGAAGCTATCTGAACTTTGAGACTGACTGTACGCACAAAGCCAATCTGCAAATGTCCTGAATACGTGTGGCCTCAGATCTGGCATGGCGTGCGATCATCACAGCGGCAAGTTAGCAATCGATGAGCGATGGAGTCAGAAGACGTTTTGTCCGCAGGGATGCCCAAACTTAATTAGTTAGTGAAATAGCCGACTGGCCAAGTAAAATGGGGCCCATCCTCGAAAGGAATGGGTCCGAATGTCCTTTTGGGAACGTATCCCCGAGGTTTCGTCCTGTTTGAACGGCACGTCTCGTCGGAGCTTGGGGGCGATAGAACGCATGCGAGCGAGAGCGTCTGTCGCTGTCTGGCGCAGCTCAGCCCGCCATTGAGGTTGCGCTGCAGTCGCGCGAAAATGCAGATTCCCGCGCGAGTTGGCCACCGTCTAAGGCCCTTGCAGCAGGACCTTTCGACAACGCCGTCGCCAAAACTTACACTTATGTCTCTGGCATGTCTGCAAAATCGAGCATCGAAACGTCCGCATGCTTTTAGCGTTTCGCGCCAGTGTTGCGCGTCCGGATAGCTTTTCGCCGCCACGACCGGATGCGCCTCGGAATACCCAGACAGGTCGGAGAGGGACTCTTGAGGGAGGTCCTTTTTGGATCGGCGCCGGGGCCCCCCTAATGTCCCTGGCGCGCGGCGCGCGCGCGACCCCCCCCCCCAAACAAAAACATTTATACGTGGATGTACCTTCTTCGACAGAGATCTGCTGTACCGTGGGGGCATGGCGACCCCAATCCAAGACTTTGTGGGACACTCCGACTGGGCAGAGGATAATGCCCAAACACGGGGATATACGATGAGGGGTGTTCACCCTCGGTAGGGGTGCGTCCGAATAGCCCCCTGGAGGTGCATCCCGAAGGCCCCTCATTTTCCGAGTAGCCAGATATTTTTTTCCAAACGGAGCTCGGGGATTGGAGACGGGGAATCGCATGTGATCTACGAAGTTCGACTGATTTGGGCTGGTTTCTCTGGTCAGGCCGATGCCTGCTTGGGGGAACATTCGGACCCCTGCTGGAACGAATTCTGGGCAGAATCTTTAGAATGCAGCCATGGCGACAAGGGCACTCCTCGACGAGCAGCGGTACCGGTATCTTTCCCACCTCGGACTTGAGGGACACTGGCACGGGGGAACTGGCTCAGTGAGGGAAACATGGAGCTGGAATCGGAAATACGTCGCCGAAAGATCGGCGGCAGACCCCCGATAGCGACACCAAGCGTTCCTTGGCGGGTAGGCTATCAGGCCCCTGTCGGACATCACTGGGCAACAAGGGGGGTCGATGCATCCCCCCGTGAGCCTACCCCCGCCTCCTGGTTCCTTCTCTGCCTGCTGGGCCGCCCGCCTCAGGGAAACAGCCGAGCCCGCGCAGCATGGCGTGCAGCGTATCCGTGTGCACCTGGACCGCCGGACGCGCGCGCGCGCCGCCACCGGCCGCCCCCCCCTCCCGCGAGCAGGCCAGGTGTCGCGCGCGGCTGCAGCAAGGGGGGGGGGGGCAGAGTGACGGGGTGCGAGGTGGTGCTTCATCGATAGACACCGCCTGTGGAACCGACGTACTGGGACACCGGCGGGCTGTGGTAGAGGATGTGGGTCGGCCCCAGGGGGCCGAATGTATCAACATCCACCGCCTGCCGAGGTCTCCCGAGGTCCTCTAGTATCGATCGCCCAGAGGGTGGCTATGGATGAAGCCATGCCTCGGACAGGGAGGGGAACAGAACGGAGGAGGGAGCGGGACGGAGGGAGAAGGAGAAAGGACCTCGCGGGACCAAGAGAGAGATGCCGACGCCGCTGCTCCTCGGACTCCCTCCTGGGGGTGGGCAGCAGCCGCGATTCCTGGCCGCGATTCAGCCTGCTCTCGCCTGGCCACGCGCTGCCGCCTGCGCCCCATTCACTCTGTGGGGCCCTTGGCCTCCGAGCTGAGGACACGCGCCGCGAGCGCACCACGAGCATTGCCAGCGATAGTCCATATCCGGCCCCAGCGAGGCCATTCCATACCACAGCGGTATCGGTCTCTGTTCCTCCTCCGAGGGTGGGGGAGGGGGTCGGTCGGTCGGGTCCTCGAAAGGCCTCGGCTTTCAAGATACAGCCTGGGGAGGGTGGCAACGAATGTACGGTCGCTGTCCAAGACGCCCGATTTTCGAGCCCCCCTTGCCTACCCGCTCAACAATACAGGGAGCGCGGGAACAAAACTATATGAAAGTCGTGGCAGCGGAACGTACGGAATTCGGGCGTTGGCAGAACTGGTTTAGTGGGACCTGGTTTAGTAATGTGTTCTGGGGGACGCCTCCCCCGCCCCGTTCCACTAACCGGAACTGCCGTCACCCGAAAAAACACAAGCTACGGCAGACCCGCTTCAGTGTCCCCTTACCTGGGGTCCTGGCTGTACCCGAGAAAGGGAGAGGATGAACGTTATGATTGTTCGAGGTGCGGTTCACAGTCCCAGTCCCTTCCCCAAGGTCAGCCTTTGGCCCTGGATGGTCCCGGGCCCCGATCGCGGGCCTTCGAGGCCGAAGTTGAGGAAGAACGCCCGGGGCTGAAACGTACGGATCGTGCAATCATTGAAGCACCGCTCGGGGGAACGGCGGAGCCCGGCGCTGTGGCCTCGAGAGGCCCCTCTCGGGGCGTCGGGCGCCCATGGCTCTCCGCGTGGCGCCGTGCTCTGCGCGTGGTGCGGTGGGGAGGCTGGCAGGGGGCCCTCCTCCGATGTCCCGTCTCTTCCTTCCCCTCCTCCTCCTTACCATCCTTGCCCGCCTCCTTCTCGGAGAAGAGAAGAGATGCGCAGGAGGGAGGAGAGGATGGGGATGAGAGAAGGGAGGGGAGAGTAGGGACGCAAGGAGCCAGGGAGACGGAGTGGACTTTCACCCAGCGAAGCGCGGAGGCTGGTCGACAAAAAAAGAAGCGTGCTGCGGAAGAATGGCGGACTCGGGCAGTCAGAGGGGTGGAGAAGGACGGCGGGAGAAGCACAAAAGGGTAGAGAGGGGGGAAGGGGGTCAGGGATGGAGGAGAGGAGATAGAGGTGGGGAAGGGACGAGCGACGATGGGGCAGGGATGGGGGGCCTTGACCTGCTCTTCGCCCTCCCTACCCCTCCACCTCCTTCCTCATCCCTTTCTGCCTCCTCCACCACTCCCCTCCCCCTCCTCATCCTCCTCCACACCCGGCGAGGTCGAGGGGTCGAGGCGGTCGTCGTCGTCGTCGTCGCCATGGCTGGGGGGATCAGACAAATACCGAGACCGCTAAATCCCCTGGGCCTCTCCTGGGGTGCGTTCTGACCATGATTGCGAGACGCATCCAGCCGTGGTGGCGAGTGGGAGAATGACACGCTGTACAGAAAACCGGAAGCGTCAAATGTCCGCGCAGATTTCTGGGGCGCGGAACTCGCCAAGGGCGGCGCAAGAGGCGACGCCAAAGGGTTTGGCGACGATCCGAGAAATCCGTGCGAGCCTCCTGATAGTTATACTTGTGCAGCTTATTGGTTCGTCTTCTTCGAGCATGCCATCCTCCTCTGAGGGACCGCTGACATGGCCGAGGTTGAGGTCTCGGGCGATGCCTAGTGGGAGGCGATCAACGGGGCGAGGGCAGGAAAGGTGCACCTTGTATCCGCCGGCCCCCCTGCGGGGCCACCAGGTTGCGAGGATGAGGATTGCAGCTCCCTGCTCCAATTGCAGTTTCCAATTTCCACTGTTACAGTCCTGCTTTCTGCTTCCTTACTTTTAATTCTTGCTGAACGCGCGAGGCGGGGAGCCCCAAACCAGCTTTATCACCACGCCCAGATTGCGTTGTCTGAATTCCTGGGGGGCGTGGGACATTAAAACATACCTGATATTCGCGTCCCCGAGGCCATAATCCCTAGTAGTTTGCGCCATAATCGCGTCCCCGAGGCCATAAACCTTAGTAAAGAACGCAATGCTCGCTTCCCTGAAGCGAAGCCATGATCCCTGAGGCCACAAGCCAAAGCCATAACATATTACCCCATATTCGCGCCCCCGAAACCAGAAACCCATGAAAACTACGGAATGCTCGCGCCCCCGAAACAATACACCTAGTTAAAATTATATCAGATTCGCGTCCCCAGGGCCATAAGCCATGGTAAATTACACAATGCTTGCGTCTCCGCGGCCACAAACCCTTAGGACCCTTGCAAATTATCATATTCGCCATAATCATGCATTAATTACACAGTATCTGTGCCACCGAGACCATCAACCCTTGTACATTACACAATATGTGCGTCCCCCAGGCCACAAACCCTGGTAAATTACTTTCGAGTCGCGTCCCCGAAGCCGTAAACCATTGTAAATTGCATCATATTCGCGCCACCGAAGCCATAAACCATCGGAAATCAAAAATTTGCCCTCGCGTGAAGTCCCGACATTGCTTCACGTCAGCGTCCAGACATCCAAACACAGCTCTGGCAAGTTCCATTCTAAGAGCGGTGGGCCGGCGGCATGGGGGCGAAGCCCTTACGCATACATCTCCCAAACTTATGAGGGGCAATGTTA